AGACTAACCAAAAACTTAAATTATTAAGCTACAAGAATATCGAAGGTAAAATCCAGGTAATGTACAAACAAAAGAGATACTATATTCCAAAAAATATTGCGAAAACTTACTTTAGATTAATTTGATGCCACGAATGTCACAAAGACAATCCGTTCATTGCACATCGTCAACATATACTGACAAACTAACGTTTATCTTGCGTGTAATAAAACTGTACTATTGCCCGATTATCGACTATTATTTGTTTCGAGATATCGTCGTTGTTTCAACTCATCTTTGTTTCAACCTACCTCAGTCTTCCCTTCTCATTCGACGGTAAAAAGGGAATACTCGAAGGTGATTGGTTAATTTTTACAGATTACGGTATATGGTTACGGCTAATATATATAAACGCTCCTTAACTTGTGATATTACTGCGGTAGTTTAGTAGAGTTAGCGTTTTAAGACCGAAAAATCATTTCGGCGCGCGTTTCAAAGGACTACATATGTAAATATAAATTCACATAGAATCATACAAGCATTTAAGATAGCTAGACTGTTTAAAGCATTGATTTCTATAATTCATGTTAAAATAAGTTCATAAAACAGCTATATATATATATATATAAAGGCCGCGGCCTAAATGCACGGTGTAAACGTAGCCAGTGAACCGAACTGAATCGAAAAATCCCGTTTTGCAGTTGACGCAATATTTAACGAGATATTAACGTTTAAAGATAGACGAATACATGCGTCCGACCGGCCTACTGCCGGAAGAACAGCCCACCGTCCCCATCGATCGCACGGCGCGCCGGCCGGGCCGCGAAAAGCGGGGATGGCCTGGCAGGCGAGCCGCTCAAAACGGCGAGCTGGTGGAAATGGTGGACCGTTCTTCCGGCAGTAGTAGGCCGATCGGACACACGTATTCGTCTATCTTTAAACGTTAATATCTGGTTAAATATTGCGTCAATTGCAAAATGGTACAAGACTTTTCAACTCAGTTCGGTTCATTCTATCTTCTCACGAGGGGTGATTTAATCGGTCAATGACACCCTATATATACACAGGGTGTTTGAAAAATAATGAAAAATCTTTCATAGAAACAAAATGGAGTAAACTGAGAAGAAAAGTCCTTTATCATTTTTACAATTTTCGCAATAGTTAACAAGATATTAATTACTAAAAATTGTCGAAAATTGGTCTTCAATAATTTTTTACTCAAATACTATCAACTTTACAGAAAAATTGAAAAAGATTGCGAAAATTGTAAAATGGTAGAGGACTTTTGTTGGAAGCGAGATATCAAAAAGAATTGGATACACTTAATAAGAATTTATTTGTGCCAATTACATATAACGAGCCTTTTCAACAAACGTATAGACAGACAGAGAGTTAAATAAAAGAGAACTAACTTAACAGAAGTGACGGCTCTTCGGTATTAGCATGGACTATCAAAAAATATATTGATTTATAGATTGATAATAGAATATAATAGAGCGCCAATAGCGCCAAATAAACGTTTATGATATTATATCATCTTGATCAAAAAGTTCCCGGAATTACCACCAGGTGATGCTCAGCTAATTTGAGTTCTGTTTTTTTTGTTAGGTTGCCACATCTATCATTGACATTACCACCAAATTTTATCGTCATAGCTTGACATTTGTAAAAGTTACGCCGTCGTGAATACATCTATCTCTGCACGGTTTTCGATTTTTCCATTACCTCCTTTCGGCTTAAGCCTGGTGGCAACCTAACCAAAAAAAAACAGAACTCAAATCAGCTGACTCAGAGCATCACCTGGTGGTAATTCCGGGAACTTTTTGATCAAGGTGGTATACCAACAACTTTTCTTCTCAATTTAGTCCATTATGCCCGTATGTGAAAGATTTTTCATTACTTTCCAAACACTCTGTATATACAGAGTCTGACCGAATAACATGTAAAAGCGGACACACGACAAGATTCCTTATAAAAATGTAAAAAAATATATTAGGTGTACAAAAAAGTTCTGAGCTTTTTTTTTGTAAAATTCAATCTTTATTCAAAAACAAACGAAAAAATATTAATCAGCGAAATA